TTTGTATTATCTGTTTTTAATTACCTGTTTTGTATTACCTTGTATTTATTACCTGTTTTGTATTACCTGTTATTTATTTCCTGTTTTGTATTACCTGTTTTGTATTACCTGTTATTTATTACCTGTTATGTATTACCTGTTTTGTATTACCTGTTTTGTATTACCTGTTTTGTATTACCTGTTATTTATTATCTGTTTTGTATTACCTGTTATTTATTACCAATTTTGTATTATCTGTTTTTTATTACCTGTTTTGTATTACCTGTTATTTATTACCTGTTTTGTATTACCATTATTTAGTACCTGTTTTGTATTACCTATTTTGTATTACCTGTTTTGTATTACCTGTTTTGTATTACCTGTTTTGTATTACCTGTTATTTATTACCTGTTTTGTATTACCTGTTATTTATTACCTGTTTTGTATTATCTGATTCTATTACCTGTTTTGTATTACCTGTTATTTATTACCTGTTTTGTATTACCTTTATTTATAACTTGTTTTGTATTACCTGTTATTTATTACCTGTTTTGTATTACCTGTTATTTATTACCTGTTTTGTATCATCTGTTTCTATTACCTGTTTTGTATTACCTGTTATTTATTACCTGTTTTGTATTACCTGTAATCTATTACCTGTTTTGTATTACCTGTTCTTTATTACCTGTTTTCAAAAACAGTTATTTTGTTATTTTGCAACAATGTGTGATTAGGGGGGGGGGTCAGATTGTATTACGTCATGTATTCTCATTTTCATCTGATTTGTTGCAGTACTTTTGCACTTTATATTAGTTTAGTTGTTGTAAACTGTTATTATAATTTTTGAATATACCTAATGTACACAAACGAATCTGACCAGTTGGGGTCCATTAATATTGTTTTTGTCAATCAATCTCGCCTACTTAGCGCAGGGGCGTACCGACTCATTCCGGTGCTCATGTGAACTTATAATTTTGTGCCTCCCATATTTATATATATTATATATATATATATATATATATATATATATATATATATATATATATATATATATATATATATATATATATATATATATATATATATATATATATCATCACCAGCATCAGCATCATCATCATTCCAGTAGGCCTCTTGTGGAGCATGGGAACGCTACCACACCTCTCCATAGTACTCAGTTCTGGTCGATTTCTTCACGTTGTGTCCACGACATTCAGGCTGCTTCTGCTTTTCCTAAAGCTGACATTTTTCAAGTTTGTTTTGGCTAACCTTCTTTCGTCTTTCCTTGGGGATTCTAATCTAGTGCATGTCTGGTGATGTTGCTAGTTGGTTTACGCCTGGTGTGTCCAATCCATCGCTGTTTGCGCTTTTGAATTTCTTTGAAAACAGGGCCTTGCCCAGTTTAGGTTATAGAGGTCAAGTAGAAGATAGCCGAAACAGAGCCTAGCGTAGTTAGGTAGACAAATAGATATAGAGGAGCTGACCGGTCACGTGAGACGGTCAGATGACCAGTGAGGCGTGGGTCAGCAGTTAGAGATAGGTAGCGGTAGAGAACGGTCAGAGATATGTAGAGGTAGGTAGCACTTAGACAAAGATAGCGCTGGGGAAAGAAGTAGAAGTTGAAAATAAATGTAGTGTTAGAGTTTGTCTTGGAAGTGTAGTTGTCGTTAGATAGTGTTAGTAGACAGTTAGATCTTAGGACGTAGTTAGGGTAGGAGTAGGAGATTGATTTGTGTTGAATAACGAAACATTATAGAATATCTTGAATTGGACTTGTAAAGATTTCACAACACTGTACCAGGCGTACGTAAGAAAGGCGTTCCCCGTAGATAATGTATATATATATATATATATATATATATATATATATATATATATATATATATATATATATATATATATATATATATATATCTAATATATAAAGCTCAGTTCTGTATTAATGTTAGAATATTACCGTGCGCATTTGTCTAAATTTATGAGTTAAAAAATTACCATTGAAAGTTTTGCGAAATAATTTTCATTTTTCAAACTGAAAGTAATAATTGTCGGCATGTTCATTAAACACAATTTTAAAAAAATATCATCTTTTACAAAATATCTAATTATGTCTTTATTTAGTCCTATAGCGTTTACTTCCCTTTGATAAATTAGGAAAACACAATTACTTCCCTTTATAAAACCATTGCATTAGTGGAAAAGCATTTACTTTTCATTACTTTGTTTTGGTGTTGGGAAAAAAATAATTACATAATTAGCGGGGATTGATCAAGTGTAAATGTTGTAGGTATTTTACGGATAAGCTTGGAGTATTATAATTGTTCATTAAATTGAAACAGGCGCGTTAGTTTAAGTGAGTGCAAAAACTATGAATAAGTTGGGGTACTATAGTCGTTTATTAAGCTAAAACAGGCGATTCTGTCCCGGGCGTTTATGTTCGCGTTAGTGCTTTTTTTGTGTTTATGTGGGTTTGCGTTAGTGGTTGCGTTTTGATTTGGTTCGTTTTTGTTCTTTCTTTTTTTCGTTTTTGTTTGTGTTTTTTTCTTTGGGTTTGTATTTGTGTTTTTGGTTGGTATTGCGTTTGGATTTGGTTTGTTTTCATTTGCTTTTTCGTTGTTTTTTTGTGTTGTTATTGGTTGGTATTGGTGTTTGTGTTTGGGTTTGTTGTTAGGTTTTTGTTTTCGTTTGCTTTTTTGTTTATTTTTTCTTTGTGTTTGTATTGGTGTTTGTGGTTGTGGTTGGGTTTGTTGTTAGGTTTTTGTTTTCGTTTGTATTTGTAATTGTGTTAGCGTTATGTTTGCGTTTTGTTGTTTTGATTTTGGTTGGTTGTGGTTTGGGTGGGCAATGCCGGGTATAGAATGATTACTAAACACACAGGTAATGGTCTTTAACAGAAAGGTTTTATTATAGAAGCCAGAGCAGGGCCTGGCCGGGACGGCTAGTATATATATATATATATATATATATATATATATATATATATATATATATATATATATATATATATATATATATATAATACAAACTTTCTACAACCCTGCATTACATTTGGTAGAGCATCGGCCCTCTTCAACCACCACCCTCACACTGGTGGATGTTCTTAAACCCCACCCTCACACCCAGTTTTTCGCCACAGTTCGGAAATGGTAACTTTTTCAGGCCCACTTGCTTTTCAATATGCGGCGAAGGCATCCATTAATGAAAGTCTGAAGTTTGTTATTAGTTTGTGTTGAATCTCCACTTCTCAGAACCATAGAGGGGAACAGATTTCATATTGTTGTTGAACAAACACTCGTATTTTAGAAATTGTAAACAGAGTTCTCGACGTGTCGGTTGTGTGGAGGCTTTTGATGTCCCCATCTGCTCCCCATCCCTGATTATTATACTTCTAAGATATGTGAAGCGATCCACATCAGAGATAGCCTATGTGGGAGCTCCCGTATATTGTTGATTCTCATCACCTTTGGGTTTTTTCCAGTTGATCTTCATGCCTGTCTTAAGTACCTGTTCGCTGAGTTTGCTTAGCGTGGACTGATATTTTTGTCGATGTTAGATGAGGTTGATGTCATCCGCAAAATCTAAACACGTCAGTTGTTTAGTGAGGGTTTACTGAATTCCAGGTTTTTTTTTGTCGGAGCTTGATCGAGTCATTGACTGTTGTGAACACATGGACACGCCTTGAGAACACACGGACACGCTTTGTGAACACACGGACACGCTTTGTGAACACACGGACACGCTTTGTGAACACACGGACACGCCTTGTGAACACACGGACACTCCTCTTGAACACACAGACACGCCTTGTGAACACACGGACAAGCCTTAGAAATACACGGACATGCTTTGTGAAAACACGGACATGCGTTTACGGGTGATCTGATGCGTAGCTCAACATATAAGACAACCAATAACGAGTTACAAAACACAAGATTCAATAAAACAAAGGTTCGTCAACACTAAAATAATTTAGTGATATTTTCACTATCTACAACTAACACAGTCTATTCTAAACACAAAATAGGCCTACACACGCTGGTACAAAAACTAGGACACAGTGGCTAGTACAGACCTAAACTATACTAACCTTTGGTGAGATCTGAACGAAACTGGGGCAATCACACACATTTTCACACACCTTATATACCCTTACATAAAAGAGTACAAAACACACTGCTATCACTCACAATACGAGGACTGAACAAGGACGAACGGAACAGGGTACCAAGTACAAACAACATTCACCCCCATTCACCCCCTTCACTGTCAAAAAGAGCATTGACGAAAGCATTCAGTCTTGCCGTACTCAGATGTTCTCTATAATAGAGTTAGTCGACTTGCTGTGGATAATCTGGCAGTTGGAGTCTACATCGAGCTGTTGGATGAAGTTGATACATTTTGGAGGGATCCCATAGTGATTTATCAACTTCCAAATGACACCTCAGTCCACACTTTGAAATGCCTTCCCAAAACTGAATAAGGTCATATTGAGATGTGATTTCCGCTCGATGGACTTGAATAAGTACGCGCATAGTGGCTATGTTGTCAGTACATGACAGGTGTAGTCGAAAACCTGCCTGCTCTGGTTTTAATTTCTTATCCAAGGCCTCATTCAGCGAGCTAAAAGAATTTCTTCCTTGTTGATTCTAGCCTCAACGTCCATTCAATTTTTATAATCTCAACACCGCCCAATTTATTAACTCTTTATTAACATCACCATTTTTTTTTTGTAAACATCAACACAACGAATTAATATAATCTCAATACCACCTAATTTTTATAATCTCAACACCGCCCAGTTGATTAACTCTTTATTAACACCACCATTTTGTTTGTAAACATCAACACAACGAATTAATATAATCTCAATACCACCTAATTTTATAATCTGAACACCGCCCAATTTATTAACTCCTGACACCACCACTTTCTCTTTAAACATCGACACAACGAAAAAATATAATCTCAATACCACCTAATTTTTATAATTTCAACTCCATTTAGATTTCTACTTCCTGTTTGGGTGTTAACTATGGCGTTTCCTTGTAAATTCTATGGGATACACATAAACTGTTGAATTTCTAACAATACTTGGGTTTTTATAGGTTAACACATTACAGAACGTAAGTAAGATCCCGTCACTCTCCTGGGTATAATTTAAAGTTAACGATATAGATTATATCAATATGTATGTTCCAGAATAGTTCTAGAATCTCGATCTAAATCTATTTCTAGATTTATCATGGAGGCCACTAAGTTAACGAGAGTCCTTCTGTTAATTCTATTATATAGTTCGCATGGATATAATTCGCTTTTTAAAAATATATTTTTACTTCATGGGGCCATAAAAATAAAAACAAATCTTAAGCTTACAATATACTTTAGAATTTTAATATTTTTAGAATCAATGTTATAAAAGTTGCAAATGCTGAGAAATTGAAAATTTTTTTTTTGAATTTAAGGCTACTTTTCTATTTATTTTTAATTCATTCATCCGGATGTTTCACTTTCGTAAGACAAACATTGATTGGCTGAACATGAACTCCGTGATCGATAGTTATTTGTTTACAAAACTTTGCAGATAAAGTTTTTAAATAACGTAATGCTATTTTAAACCACATGACTTAGTACTGCAATTTCGTTTACATTGTGTATAATAAAATTTATGCTAGCCTATCGAATGTCATTGTTTATGTCGCATTTTCCACGTGAAAACCAAATTGCTTTTGCCTTTTTACTTTCTCATACACGAAGTATAGAGAAAGTATTGCTTGGTACTTTGACAAAATTTAACAAAATGAAACTTCACCCCGATAAAACCAAGTCAATGATTATTACGACTCATCAGAAACACCTTCGTCTTCCATCTACCTCATTACGCATACTATTGACAATACAAACATTGAACAGGTTAACAGTTACAAATGCCTAGGATTGAATATAGATCACAACCTCACTTGGTGCGATCATATTCATCTTCTATGAATGTCCTTATTAAAGACAAATTTTCAACTAGCAAGGATAAAGAACCTTCTGGACTATATGAGCAGGCTGGTTTTTTACTTTCTCGTATATACGAAGTATAGAGAAAGTATTGTAATCGTGCAAAAAAAAAATCGAGATTTTTAAAAATCTCGACGTTTTACACCTCACTGATACGGAAAAACATAATTTTGCAATCTTGTCCGTATGTCTCTGTGTGTGTGTGTGTGTGTCCGTGTGTGTGTGTGTGTAAGCACGATACCTTGAATACCGTTACAGCTAGGTTAATGAACTTTTGTATATAAGTATTATATCAAATTTGTAGATCTGTATCAACTTTTCAGCGAATTCCGATAACCGGAAGTGGAACTTTTTCTACTTTCAATTTCTCGAAAGCCGCTAACTTGAGTACTATTTCAGATAGATGAATGAAATTTTACGTATAAGTAAACGATCTAATTCTCTGCCTTCTTTCAATTTTGAACAATTTCCGTAAGTAGTAATTTACTCTATTTTTGATTTCTCAAAAAACGCATGTGAATTAAAGTACTAATATTCGCACTATTCTACACATTTAGTTTGGCGTTCACGTGGTGCGCGATTCTTTTTACGAGATTCTATTCTATTTTTAAAAGTTTAAGTAATTAAAAATGGATTTAAAATATTGTTTATATACCGAGTTGCCATCCCCAGTAGTGTTACATAAGAACATTCGAGAAAGTTTAGGGGAGATCACTCCCGATTTATTGTTATTATTGCTTGTTTTTCTCTATAGTCTATAGGTTCAGTCCCCAAGCTCTGATCGGGAAAATACACTACGATCTGGAAATGGGGAAGATCCATTTTTTAAAAATTTCCCGCGCATCTTAGACACAGCCAGTCCCGCTCTAAGTAGCCTACACTCACACGCACACGTACACATGAACGATGCTAATTTAAAAAAAAAATTTCAGCAAACTTTTCACAACTCTGCTTTACAGCAAGTCACCCATCAGAGTCGGAAGAATGCTGTTCATTGCCTGGATTCTGAGTTCAATGTTTATCCATGCAGGTAAATTAAAACCCTACCCAATATAGTCTTTTTAAAACATATAGTATGACTATGTTGATTTTTTTTTTTATAAATATAGCGAAAGTAAATTACTATAGCTATAAGAATCAAAAGAATCACCTCAATATTCTTAGATATTTTTTATTACACCAGTATAGTAATGCCTCTATTTAGGAATTTGATCCGCTCTAAGATTACTGTTTCTCCCAGACTTTTTTTTCTCTGGGGAGGCACTTGGTATTTTCAGGGGGGGGGACTAAATTTTTGGGGGGAAGGGGAGTGGACACTGGTAAAAATATGTTTTTTATATAAATTCCATTTCGTTCTGGGGGAGGGCCGTAGACTTTCATGGTGAGAGGGGGAGATAAGCCTGGAAGAAACTCTCTAAGATGGGACGATAAGATACATTAGGTTTTCCCGGCTCCAGAAGGTGATAGAAATTCACAATTTAATTTGTCCAAAAAAAAAATGTAAATTTTTGCTCGAGTACACTGCATACTATATAATCGGTAACGATATAGTGGGGGGGGGGGGGGGGTAAAACGGTGAAACTTGATGATTTGTTGTAAAACGGTGAAAATTGATGATTTGCTTTTTTCTACGACTACAATCGTCAACGTCATTTCCCGCTCGTGGCCAAGAAACACGGGGCAGATGAAGTAGAGTTCAGCTGCTTCAGAGACCTTGGTATGTGAAGGGATAATGTGATAGGCACTATACCCAGCCGTTTTTGCTAGGTACCCATCAGAGCTGGGTGGACTTAGTTTCCTTCATTTGAATTCGAACGTCTCTAGATGTCTATCTGTCTACCGCTTGGTCACGCCGTCTACCCATTACAGTACTTACGTCTACAGACATGTAACCCCCTCCCCACCCCCCCCCCCCCCGTTGCTACGCCTCTGTATCTCTCACACTATGTGCATAATTAACATCGTATGGATGCTGGGTTTTTTGTGATTTGTCGTTTTAATTGTATTTTTTTTATATCTACATTTTAATTCAAGAAAGCAGGGGCAATGTCAACTCGCTTGAATTCCAACGAGATCATGGAATTATTGCCACGTTAGATGGGTACCTACCCCGCTGTACAGGGTGTGTGGTGTGGGGGAGGGACCCACTCATTATCTATGGACGTATGCATATACCACAGGACACGTTGTACGTATTGGATGAGGCAGTCTTTTTTGCCATGGCTTGTGCGCTTGATTTAGATTCTTCCTACAAAAATTATGACTGCACCAACTATTCCGATCATGATTCCTACACCGTGGTTAGTATTCTGCTTTTCAAATTTTTTTTTCAATAGATTTTGGTTAAAATACATAAGATGTTAAAATTTATTCTATTATCGAACAGCTCAGAAAAAAATACCTCGTTAGTACACCGTCCCTGAGTCCACACAGCTCTGATAGGTACCTAACTCACATTAAGGAAAGTAAAGGCGACTGGGCATAGTGCTGACCACACTATCTCTTCATATGCCGAGGTCACAGAAACAGGTGAACTCTACTTCCCTTGCCCCATAGACCGACAGGTTTGGGAGGGGAACTACGTACTTTAATCTCTAGTAGTTTACAGGAGTACAAGTATTAAAACTCTAACACCTCATTGTCTACTTGGACAATCTTCAATCCATGACTTCTGTACTACACGGCAATCATTGTCTACTTAGACAATCTTCAATCCATTACAGCTGTGTTACACGGCAATCATTGTCTACTGTGTCAATCTTCAATCCATGACTTCTGTACTACACGGCAATCATTGTCTACTGTGTCAATCTTCAATCCACAACTTCTGTGGTACACGGCAATCATTGTCTAATGTGACAATCTTCAATCCATTACTGCTGTTCTACACGGCAATCATTGTCTACTGCTGTTTATGTCGGGGGGTTTATGTCCAGGGGGTTTTTGTCCAGGGGGTTTTTGACCGGACACCAATGTGACAATCTTCAATCTTCAATCCATGACTGCTGTACTACACGGCAATCATTGTCTACTTAGACAATCTTCAATCCATTACAGCTGTGTAACACGGCAATCATTATCTCCTTTGACAATATTCAATCCATTACAGCTGTGTTACACGGCAATCATTGTCTAATCTGACAATCTTCAATCCATGAGTGCTGTACTACACGGCAATCATTGTCTACTGTGTCAATCTTCAATCATTGTCTCATGTGACAGTGTTTATTCCTTTTCTACTGTTACAATCTTCAACCATTGTCTTGTTTTACAATCTTCAATCATTGTCTTCTTTTACAATCTTCAATCATTATCTACTTATACAATCTTCAATCATTGTCTACTGTTACTGTCTTCAGTCCTTGCCTACGGTTTCAATCTTCAATCATTGTCTACTGTTACACATTTCAATCCTAGTCTACTTTTACAATCTGCGTCTACTGTTACAATCGTCAATCATTGTTTACTGTTACAAACTTCCCACATAAGCACATTGACTTACGAATATGTTTTTTTCTCTTCAGGCTTGCATGTTTAATTATCGAATGTTCCCGCCAAATAGCTGCCGAAAATGGGAAGGTAATCCGAGGTACCAAGATGGCTGCTACTGCGACGACGGAGAACCCAAACTATGGTATGCGTATATACCCGCAAGGCTGTTTAGAAAGACCACGATGACAATACGCTTTATTTACGATGGACGAACTTTCAGACAGCAAAGATGGTTCCCATACAGAGCTAATGATACGCTGTTCGTCAAGGACCTAATTGGTAAACTAACTCATTATGTCATAGTAATCATAGTATATTTATAGTATATCATATATATATATATATTATAGTGTATCATAGTCATAGTATATCATGGTAATCTGGGAAAACAAATATAGACATCAATCAATTTGCTTTGCAATGCATTTATTTAAGGGTTAAGATGATGAAAATGATAACTATAGCAATAAAGAGTCGGCCTCTGTATTGTATATTAAATATGTTTGGAATTCCCAAACGTTCTACATACAAAAAAAAAAACCATGCCTGCTTAATATTTTAACTGATAGGTTACTAAGCAGAGTTTCTTCCACGCATCTCTTCTACCCCCCCCTCCCCCCCCCTCCCCGAACGAGATGGAATTGATATAGTAAACATACAGTTTTACTAGTGTCGTCCCCCCCCCCCCCGAAAAATGTTGACCGCCCCCGCCCCCTCCCAAATCCCGGAGAAAAAAGTCTGGAAGAAACACTATTACTAAGAGACAATATTTAAAAAACAAAAACACGTTGTGGTGTCTAGGATATAGTGTGCAGAAAAAGCGCCCCAATGTTTAAGATCTAAGAAATGAAGTACCAATTTTGTTTACATTTAAATGACAACAGTTCTAGCCGGCCGGAAATTGCACATGTGTTCGCTTGTAAAGGCTTATAGCACACGCTGATAAACTGTGTTGATATTTTCAGACCGCGGCCACATAACTCGACCCAATCACAAGTCTACTAACAGATCCGCACGCAGGCTGACAAGTAAGCTGTCCAATTTGATACCACTAAGCCTCCATAACCAAACGTTGATTTCTTATTTTTATTATAGAAAAAATTAGGGCTGGTTTGTCTTCTTCTTCTCTTCTTCGTTCTTAATTGTAGGGGGGATTCCCCTCAACATAATTAAGGATACGTGTCAACTGGTTATGCGCCATAGAGACCGTTGACTCCGATTTCAGCCTGCTTTTCTTTTTGGATTTGCTTCCATAGCCTTTGTCCAACCAAGAACAACCTTTTCGGTTTAACAACCATGAACTTTACCGACTCGACCATGCTGGATTGTATAAGTGCAGATCTTGTCACAACCATAATTGTATATTGGCAGATCTTGTCACAACCTTAATTGTATAAGGGCAGATCTTGTCACAACCTTAATTGTATAAGGACAGATCTTGTCACAACCTGGATTATATAAGCGTAGATTTTGTCACAACCCGGATTGTATAAGTGTAGATATTATCACTACATGGTTGGTTCAATGTAATTTGTCACAACTGCCGTTTTTCACCGTTAATGCAAAACAACATTAATATATTTGTATTTCACCACAGATCTTCTGCTGGAGTTGAGCTCAGTGGTTCTGGCCTTTGGTACCGTGGCTTCTTTCATGACTTAGACTCCGATCCTACTGACCGATGTCCAGTTGGGTGTGGCCGATTAAATATATGAACTAGACATCTCTATGGCATCATAAGATAGAATGACCAAAAGCTCATGTTTATTGTTAGATAATGTTTATAATTATTTTTTAAATATTTTATCAGTAAAATTAAGTTTTTCCCAAACATTATGTCCATTTCTTCAACTCCTAACACAATCTTGGTTAATAGCATAATAAAACACATTTAGTTATTATATATATATTTTTCTCAGTGATAATGGTGTCTTGATGAGCAACTTAAAGGTTTTTAAATATGTAATTACTTATATAATTATCTTTAAAGTTAAGCTAAAACAAAAGATTACTTTAATCTTCAACAAACGTATATAGTTTTGTTAAGTTAAAATAATTAATGATTCGTTCTTTAAGTTTGTAACACTACATGTTTTCGTAAGTTAAATTAAATTAATTTTTTACATGTTCAACTTACAAACGCCGAAGCTCATTATTTTACGTAGGAATTTTCTTAAATACCTGGTGACACACACAGGGTAATGCAAAAGTTATTTGAGCTGGAGTATAATTATATTGAATAAATTGATGAAACGTTTTATTCTTATTTTGTGCTTTTTATTACCAGTTTTTTATTTCCTGTTTTGTATTACCTGTTTTTAATTCCTGTTTTCATTACCTGTTTTTTATTTCTTGTTTTTTATTATCTGTTTTTTATTATCTGTTTTTAATTAGCCGTTTTTTATAACCTGCTTTTTATTACCTGTTATTTATTACCTGTTTTGTATTACCGGTTATTTATTACCTGTTTTGTATTACATATTTTGTATTACCTCTTTTGTAATACCTGTTATTTATTACCTGTTTTGTATTACCTGTTATTTATTACCTGTTTTGTATTACCTGTTTTGTATTACCTGTTATTTATTACCTGTTTTGTATTACCTGTTATTTATTACATGTTTTGTATTACCTGTTATTTATTACCTGTTGTGTATTACCTGTTTTGTATTACCTGTTATTTATTACCTGTTATTTATTACATGTTTTGTATTACCTATTTTGTATTACCTGTTTTGTATTACCTGTTATTTATTACCTGTTTTTTATTACCTATTTTGTATTACCTGTTTTGTATTACGTTTTATTTATGACCTGTTTTGTATTATCTGTTATTTATTACCTGTTTTGCATTACCTGTTATTTATTACCTGTTTTGCATTACCTGTTATTTATTACCTGTTTTGTATTACCTCTTTTGTATTACATGTTATTTATTACCTGTTTTGTATTACCTGTTTTGTAAAACCTGTTTTTTATTACCTGTTATTTATTACATGTTTTGTATTACCTGTTATTTATTACCTGTTTTGTATTACCTGTTATTTATTACCTGTTTTGTATTACCTGTTTTGTATTACCTGTTTTGTATTACCTGTTTTGTATTACCTGTTATTTATTACTTGTTTTATATTACCTGTTTTGTATTACCAGTTATTTATTACCTGTTTTGTATTACCGTTTATTTATTACCTGTTTTGTATTACCTGTTATTTATTACCTGTTTTGTATTACCTGTTCTTTATTAGCTGTTTTTTATTACATCTTTTGTATTACCTGTTAATTATTATCGTTTTTGTATTATCTGTTTTGAATTACCTGTTATTTATTACCTGTTTTGTATTACCTGTTATTTATTATCTGTTTTGTATTACCTGTTTTGTATTATCTGTTATTTATTACCTGTTTTGTATTACCTGTTATTTATTACCTGTTTTGTATTACCTATTTTGTATTACCTGTTTTGTATTACCTGTTATTTATTACAAGTTTTGTATTACCTGTTTTATATTACCTGTTTTGTATTACCTGTTATTTATTACCTGTTTTGTATTACCTGTTTTGTATTACCTGTTTTGTATTACCTGTTATTTATTACCTGTTTTATATTACCTGTTTTGTATTACCAGGTATTTATTACCTGTTTTGTATTACCGTTTATTTATTACCTGTTTTGTATTACCTGTTATTTATTACCTGTTTTATATTACTTGTTTTGTATTACCTGTTCTTTATTACCTGTTTTGAATTACCTATTTTGTATTACCTGTTTTTATTACCTGTTTTGTATTACCTGTTCTTTATTAGCTGTTATTTATTACCTGTTTTCTATTACCTGTTAATTATTATCTTTTTTGTATTATCTGTTTTGAAATACCTGTTATTTATTACCTGTTTTGTATTACCTGTTTTTTATTATCTGTTTTGTATTACCTGTTTTGTATTATCTGTTATTTATTACCTTTTTTGTATTACCTGTTATTTATTACCTGTTTTGTATTACCTATTTTGTATTACCTGTTTTGTATTACCTGTTATTTATTACCTGTTTTGTATTACCTGTAATTTATTACCTGTTTTGTATCACCTGTTTTGTATTATCTGTTATTTATTACCTGTTATTTATTACCTGTTATTTATTACCTTTTGTGTACTACCTATTTTGTATTACCTCTTTTGTATTACCTGTTATTTATTACCTGTTTTGTATTATCTGTTATTTATTACTTGTTTTGTATTACCTGTTATTTATTACCTGTTTTGTATTACCTATTTTGTATTACCTGTTTTGTATTACCTGTTATTTATTACCTGTTTTGTATTACCTGTAATTTATTACCTGTTTTGTATCACCTGTTTTGTATTATCTGTTATTTATTACCTGTTTTGTATTACCTGTTATTTATTACCTTTTTTGTACTACCTATTTTGTATTACCTCTTTTGTATTACCTGTTGTTTATTACCAGTTTTGTATTACCTGTTTTGTATTACCTGTTTTGTATTACCTGTTATTTATTACCTGTTTTGTATTACCTGTTATTTATTACCTGTTTTGTATTATCTGTTTCTATTACCTCTTTTGTATTACCTGTTTTTTATTACCTGTTTTCTATTACCTGTTATTTATTACCTGTTTTGTATTACCTGTTATTTATTACCTGTTTTATATTACCTGTTTTGTATTACCTGTTCTTTATTACCTGTTTTGTATTACCTATTTTGTATTGCCTGTTTTTTATTACCTGTTTTGTATTACCTTGTATTTTTTACCTGTTTTGTATTACCTGTTATTTATTTCCTGTTTTGTATTACCTGTTTTGTATTACCTGTTATTTATTACCTGTTTTGTATTACCTGTTTTGTATAACCTGTTTTGTATTACCTGTTTTGTATTACCTGTTATTTATTATCTGTTTTGTATTACCTGTTATTTATTACCAATTTTGTATTATCTGTTTCTATTACCTGTTTTGTATTACCTGTTATTTATTACCTGTTTTGTATTACCATTATTTAGTACCTGTTTTGTATTACCTGTTTTGTATTACCTGTTTTGTATTACCTGTTTTGTATTACCTGTTTTGTATTACCTGTTATTTATTACCTGTTTTGTATTACCTGTTATTTATTACCTGTTTTGTATTATCTGATTCTATTACCTGTTTTGTAT